CTAAAGAGGTTGTAAGTAAATGCTCAGTGGTGGTGGTAGAATCTGAGCCCAGGCACCCTGGCCCTGGAGCTTTGCTGTCTGTCCACCTTGCTGTGGCTCCTGGCTTAGCATCTGGTACATGCAGCTGATCAAGGGGTAACTGTTGTTATTAGTGTACATCAGCTACTGAGAATAAAGGACAAGTTCCATATTTTAATGCTTGAGCTGGAATATTTAGATGACACCACTGCCAGAGTCATACATAGGCAAGCTAGAAAGCGAAACTACTTGTGAGAAACAGATGGTTTGTTTAATTTTAGATAAGTGGAACTAGAGAGTTTGGTATGAATTCATATATTTCATGTATATTTCTATGTTTTAGTGAAGCATTTGAGAACTTTCCTCACAGAGTTTATATTCTAGAAGGGTTTGGAGAATTATCTTTCCAAAGATATTCATATTTCAAACAGAGCATCTCTCCAGAGGTAGAAATGCAGGCATTCATCAGCCAGGGAAGAAGAAGGGGTTGTTTCCACAGCAGACTTTTCTGATGTCCCTGAAGTCATGCCATTTGGACAGTAATTTCCTGTTTTCTGTCAAACTCATCTGTGTACTGATTTCCTCTGCAGTTCTTTTTTACTTCCATCTGGAGTGGTGAGACAGCTTATAGAAGCCATTAATGATTAAGTTTCAAAATAGATGCTCAGGCTTCTCAAATGGGCCTGAATGAATAATAATGGTATGTTCAGGACAGGGGAGACCAAGATGAAATCCACCAAATTATATGCAAAATAGGGCATGTGAAGCCCTGCTTTCTGGTCTCACACATGAATCATGTAATTCAGCAAGTTTGTGACTTTAGTACCCTTCTAGGGTGTGTATTTCTCAGTGATTACGCACTCATTCTAACAGAGTAGGTCAGTCAGTAAAAGTATTTTAAACCAGATTCTTCTTTGCTTCTGAGTCATTTTCTGGTAGGGGGAAAGGTTCTAGGGAGAAGCATTAACACTTTCCGATCATAAGGACTAAAGTGTAAGAGGGGTAGCTCTCTAAGTAATCTCTGGGACTTTCATGAATTCTTTACTTGATGTTTTAGATAATGAGGTACATATTTAGTTAGACGGTGAGATGGAATTTGAGAAGAATGTACTATAAGAAGGAAAATAATACCTATTTGGCTCAACCCTGAGGAGTTGTTTTAAAAACATATAGATGGCTAAGAGATTTGCAAATATTACAATTAGTTTTCTAAAAAGAAAAAAAAAATACTTAGACACCACCCTTCTGTGGAAATCTGACATCTAGCCACTTCAGTCCTCTGGAAGATGGCCAGAAAATAAGCAAGGGACCTCAGAGCACATAAGAAATAACTGTTGAAAAACTCTAGTACTGACTTTTACCACCACAGAAGAGTGTCATTTTGTCATTTAAACATATGTGTCTGGAAACCTTAAATAATTTTTGTAGTGTATGTGTGGTCCTTCATTCCCAGCAGATAGTAAATAGCAATCTAGAAAGTGGGTGGAAGCCGGGCATGGCGCACACCTGTAATCCCAGTGGCTTGGGAGGCTAAAGCAGGAGGATCATGAGTTCAAAACCAGCCTCAGCAAAAGCGAGGTGCTAGGCAACTCAGTGAGACTCTGTCTCTAAATAAAATACAAAATAGGGCTGGAGATGTGACTCAGTGGTTGAGTGCCCCTGAATTTAATTCCCGGTAACCTCCCCACCCCGCAAAAAAAGGTGGGTGGAAATATTGATGGAGAAGATTGAGAGCAGGGTATAGGTTGAGGTGGAGAGAGAAAGTTTTACTGCACTGGGATTATTATTACAATACAATACAGTAATGTATGGCCTTAAGGAACTTGCATCCATCAACCAAAGAGAAAGTCATGTTCAGTTTCTTCCATGGAAAAGGTCAGGGGGTCTTTAATGTGTCTATTTTTAAACATGGTCAGAATTAACCAAGTTTGGAGATGTTGAAATGGGAAGTTCTATGGTGTTTATATACTTGAAACAACTTATTCTCTGGTGATCAGTGACACAGACTTGAGCTTTTGGGTAATGAAATGCTTTGTGTTAATTGCTAATGTAACCAGCCCAGTTGTAGATGCTGTCACACGATTAGCAGACTGGTGAAGGCTTTGGAAACAGATTTGTTCTCATTCTGCCTCTGACTTGTTATATGATGTTGGACAGATCACATCACCTTGTGAGCCTATGTCCTCACCTGTCAGATGGGGGCTAATAATATATGATAGGGTTTGAGGACTCTGTGAGGGAAGGATGCATGGCATATAGTCAATACTTGGTAAGCATTAGGCACTGTTATAATTATTTTATCATTATACTTATTCTTTTTTTAAATTTATTTTTATTTTTGGTACCGGGGATTGATCCCAGGGGTACTTAACCTCTGAGCCACATCCCCAGCCCTTTTTATATTTTATTTAGAGACAGGGTTTTGCTGACTTGCTTAGGCCCTCATTAAGTTGTTAAGGCTGGCTTTGAACTTGTGATCCTCCTGCCTCGGCCTCCTGAGCCACTGGGATTACAGTCCTATGCCACTGCACCCAGCTATACTCATCTTCTTAATGATTATTATGAAAGTATTATTATCTCCATTTCTCAGGACAAGGAAGTTGAAGCCCAGAGAGTTTAAGTGACATGTCTGGAGTGAAATGGCTAATAAATAATGGAGCTGGGTTTGGAGTCTTGGTCTCTTTGACAGTAGAACCCTTTGCTTTGCACTCACATTATGCTGTGTTCTCAGCATATAATTATAGTTTGATTTTTTTAAACTTAAAGTAAATCTGGGATCTGGGTGTATAGCTCAGGGGTAGAACGCTTGCCTAGCATGCACAAAACCCTGTGTTCCATCTCCAGCCCCACAAAAAAAAAAAAAAAAAAGAAAGGAAATAAAATATGTGGTAACAATAGAATATTATTCGGCCATAAAGAGAAATTAAATTATGGCATTTACTGATAAATGGATGGAACTAGAGACTATCATGCTGAGTGAAATAAGCCAGTCCCCCAAACCCAAAGACCAAATGTTTTCTCTGATATGCCCATGATAACTCACAATAAGTGGGGCGGGTAGGGAAGAATAGAAGTACTTTGGATTAGACAAAGGGGAATGAAGGGAAGGGAGGGGGAATGAGAATAGGAAAGATAGTAGAATCAATTACTTTCCTATATTCATATATGAATACATGACCAATGTAGTTCCACATCATGTGCAACCAGAAGGATGGGATTTTGTACTCCAAGTATGTATAATATGTCAAAATACATTCTACAGTTATGTATAACTAAAAAGAACAAATATAAAAAGAGAAAAAAATCTGTGGTAAGAAAGGACAGAGGATGTGGGAAATATTACTAGCCACTTCTGCTTTTCACTATGGACCCAAATCATCTCATAGAAAAGAATAACCCCAGTAACACAAAAATAAACTACTTTTACTCAACAGTACAAATTAAATACATAATATTTAATTGTGTTGCCTGGCACATTAAAATCTTATAGATAACTCTGCATTGGTACACTGAACTCTTTATTAAATACCTATTACATTTTTCCATGTGAATGTTTTCTTAGATTATAAACTTAATAAGGTTACAACCATCTGTTATTTTTTTGTCTCTAGGCTCTTAGAGCTTTTTTGTTAGATTATAGTTGTACGGAGATGAAAGTTAGAGACCTCATCTCCACCAACACCAAATGAGTACTTGAGGTGAATAAAGAAATAGGCCTGGGAACTGGTAAGCAGGGATCTTCAGCTGCTCCTGTTGAAGGCCTGGGCAGGACGTGGCTCTACTGATGCACGGCTGGTTGTTCACAGGTGGATACAGCACACTGGTTGTGTCCTGTCTTTTAGTGCTTAGGCACACCCTGGAACCACAGCTACACGTGTCATGGGAACAGACTCGTCATCTGCTTATAGCACAGATGGAGGGCAGTGCAGGGACTCTCCCCTGTTAGGCCACAGGCACCTCTGAACCTGAAACATAAATGATCTGGTATAGTGTACTCAATTGTCTGGAGGCCCCATCCACACACCCCTATCTCTTTCTTTTCATGGATTTTTTTTACTTTTCAGTGTGTTTTAAATCTCACCCTGTGGAGGTGTGGTCCTGCTGCTCTTCAGAAGGTTGCACTCTGTATTTTTGCAGATGCAATCTCGGTCAGTAAGAGCCAGATGCCCTCAGTATGGGCCCTGGCCTTGCTGCAATGAGCTCTGTGATCTTGGACAAATTAGGTTTTCTAACCTACCAACCTCAGTATCCTAACCTTTAAGATGATAATGGGGAATAAATGAAATGCCGTATCTAAAATTGTAGTTTTAATATTCCATTTTAAAAGTACTGCATTTTGTGGTACTTTTCAAACATCAGTTCCTGGCGGCTCTCTTCAGGCATCTGAAAAGCCTACATGTGCTGCCAACTTGAATCTCTTCTATCACTCAGAGGCAAAGGTTGCCTTTTTAATTTTTCCAATTCCAGATTTACTTTGAGAATTAAGTGAAAATATGTGAAGAATTTATTATTTTGAAAAACATGAATGAGGACTTGGTTTGTGGCTCAGTGATAGAGCACTCACCTAGCACATGCAAGGCCCTGGGTTCGATCCTCAGCACCACATAAAAATAAATAAATAAATGTATTGTGTCCAACTACAACTAAAAAATAAATTTTAAAAAAAATGAATGAAGCCAGCCACAGTGGCACACATCTCTAATCCCATTCACTTGGGAGACTAAAGGGAAAGGGTCACAAATTCATGGCCAGCCTGGGCAACTTCGACCCTGTCTCACAATAAAAGATTAAAAAAAAAAAAAAAGACAAAAGCAGACAGAATGAAAAAGTACTTTTGATTTTTTAAAAATATAAATTACAAACTTTTTGTATAACTTTGGCTTCATTTTAAGTATGCTTATATTTTAAGCTTTATCATTCTAAATAAATAGATTTATATTATGTCTTAGATATTGATGCTTTTGTTTGTTTTGACTTTCCAGTTTGAACCATGGAGACTGGCTCGGTAGTTCGAGCCATCTTTGACTTCTGCCCTAGCGTATCAGAAGAGCTGCCCCTCTTTGTGGGAGATGTCATCGAGGTGCTGGCAGTGGTGGATGAATTTTGGCTTCTAGGAAAGAAGGAGGACGTTACAGGTAAGAGGCTTTAATTCCTCCTGAGCACAATGGACGATAGCCACTCCCTTCTTTCCACATTAAAAATAGAGGTTAAATGAGAGGCCTAAGTCACTAACTTCAGAATCCTGTCTGTTTTCTTCTATACTCACACGGAGGTCTTACCTGTGAGGAGAAAGCTTGTCATCTTTCCATCTCTCCTTACCAATTCCTTCAGGAGCTGAATGCTTAGATGCCAGCAGCTCCAGCCTGGTTTTCCATCCCTGTCTTTCTCCTTTCTTCCTAGTTCTCTCTTTTTTTTCCCCCTAGACAATGCTCTATTCACTCAAATCACTCAATACAATTTCACTCTATAGGTTCTTAATCAAGAAAATGACAATCCTTAATGCTAGTCACTGCAATAGACATAATCAATTCACAGCAAACACTTCTAGATTAACTAATTCACAGCAAACAATTCTAGATTAATTAATTCTAAGCACTGCAAATACACTTAATCATGACAGGCTAATGACAGACATTCCCTCTATGTGCAAAGTTCAAGTGTCAGATCAAAAGTCTCAAGCCTTAGGCTTTAAGTCCAGCAGATGCAAACTCACTCAGACCATGGTGATCAGGTCAGGAACCAAGGCAGGCTTCAACTGGGGTGGAGCTGATGGCCAGCTGAGGAGAGGGTCTAGGGAGATTTTGTGGCTCTCACCAGGGTCAAGATGTGGCTGTAGAGTTTGAGAGTGGTGAGGACCACGCAGAGGATCAGCAAAAGATGACAAGTGATGGGATGTCAGTCCAGGTCCTCATCAGGCTCTGAAGCTTGTGTGCATCAATGTGGGCTGGCTTCTTCCCAGCTCTTTATCCTTTGTATTCAGCACTATTTTTTAATATTTATTTTATAGTTTTAGGTGGACACAATATCTTTATTTCACATTTATGTGATGCTGAGGATTGAACCAAGTGCCTCATGCATGCTAGGCGAGCACTCTACCACTGAGCCACAATACCAGCCCCATATTCAGCACTTATTTCTCTTATCAAAATATCAATTATTCCTTTCTTCAGAACCCTTACTATTTATCATTTATTTTCACAATCAGATTGTCTCTGATCAATGGAACATAAGGTGCTTCCCACTTGTTTCTTCTGGCTGTCTTCTTTTAACAGTTTTTACTCTTCCTTTCTTTTCAAGGGAACCTAACTCATCCTGTTCACTCCTTCCTAGATTTGCAGTTGGACCCAATTAGTTAAAGCCACCCTCTGCCCTGGCTGCTACCTGCCTCCCACATTCCATACTTCTGGTTACTTTTATATATATAAAATTAACATATATATCTCTCAACCTCAACATGGATTTCTTTCATTAACTAGTCTAGGGAAGGGCATATGTTTTTCCACACAACATGCACCTGTATTAATCCAATCCTTGACTCGCATACATTTATGTTAGGTTTAAGTATGTGATATAGTCCTGAAAGCAGACACTGTGGACATTAACCCACATTTGAGAGATAGAATACCTCCTAGTAAAAGTGACCTCTCTTCAGAGACAAAAACTGCTGGGTAGTTAGCAAAGCAGAGAGACTTGCTTGTTCATAGGCCTTGGGGTGAGAGTGAACATGGAGGGACCAAGAGAAATTCAGTAAGGCATGAAGCATGAGTGGTAGAGCAAGCTGGGAGGCTGAAGAGAGGAGCAGGAGCTGATCATGGGACCAGAGTATGCCAGGCAAGGAATTAAGTGGGAAACTGGGAAAGCACTTTAAGCCTAGTCAGATTTGTCTCTTGGAAGCTACCTGCTGCAGATTGGAGAATGATAGGAAGGGGCAAAACCTAAGGTTGGAAGGCAAGTTGAAGTTTATTGCAGTCACTCAAGTAGGAGGCAATGATAGCTTGGACCAAGATGGTCGGTCTGAAGATAAGTAGACAGATTCCACAGACTTCAGAATGTAAAACCCATAAGCCTTTCTTTTCTTTCCAAATAGCAGGTACTGTCCTTCTACAACCACCTGTTAAAATCCTACTATCTTCAGACAAATATGATCTTTTTCCTAAGAACTTTCATGTTCTTCCTGACCCATTATCAACCTTCTCTGAGCTTCCTTAGCAATTTGTGTACTTACATTGTGACATAGGGTTTTAGGATTGAGTTATTATTTATGTCTAACCCAGATTTTTTCAGATCTTTGAAGACCAAGACTGCCTGGCTCATGTTTTCTTTTGCAGTGTGCTTTGTGGCATTGTAAACTGAATTGCATTCTCTGTCTCCTGCATGCCTCAGATTTTGTGTACTGTATTTAGTCTACAAAGATTCTCCAATTATTAGTACTCTGAGCTTTCAGTTAAGGGTCTATTAAGGGACTCAGAAAAAGTTTTTGTCCTTATACACAAATAGAAAAAGAAATTCCAATATTAAAAGAAAATATAATATTTAATATTGAGTGTCACTAGTCAGTATGTTTGATTTTATTTTCAGGACAATTCCCCAGCAGTTTTGTGGAAATTGTGACCATCCCCAGTCTAAAAGAGGGAGAGAGGCTGTTTGTCTGCATCTGTGAATTTACATCCCAAGAATTCAATAGCCTTCCCCTCCATCGAGGTAAGCTGATCCGAAGATGAGGTTGGTGGAGGCTGCCCATTCTGATAACTAGGTCTTTGAATTTTTATTAAGTGGCCAACATCTGGAGAGTCCTCAGAAACACCAATTTAGCACAGGCAATAATAATAATACATAATATCTTTGTAGCATTTTATAATTTTTGCACAAATGCACTCTCATCTAATTCTCAGCGCAGACTGTCAAGGTAAGCAAAGTGGGTATGATTTTAACTGTACTTTATAAAATGAGGTTCAAAGGCTTTAGCTTCAGGTGAGAAGTTTGGCCTTAGGAGGTGGACTCATATCACCTTATTCTCAGTATTATCTTTCTACTGCCCCCCATGCTGTAGCCACACTTTATATTTATCTTTTTTCCCATAAATACTGCTATGATTTTGCTAACAACATCACTACTTATTAATGCATAATAGTAATACAGTAATTTTGATGTGGTAATTTAAGAGACAAATGCAAACAACTCCATTTTACTCCTATACCAGTAGATAATGTTACAAAAGTTCTCACCAGAACCAGTTTAAATTGAAACAATTTAAAATGGATAGTCTTAGTCATGTCTCAAAGATATTTCAAGTATTTTTTACTTCTTGCATTCTGATAGACTATAAACTTTTAAAGATAGTCTGTAAACCCATTTCAACAAAAATACTTAGTTAGATCTGTACATTTCTGCATAAACACAGAAACTAGTAGTGTTCCACAGATTGAGACTTACAATCCATCCAATTTTGTGATGACTCAGTCATCAAAATGGCAGAATGTCACCAGGCCCAGTGGCACACGCCTGTAATCCCAGCAACTTGGGAGGTTGAGGTAGGATGATTGTAAATTTGAGGGCAGCCTCAGCAATTTAGCAAGGCCCTGTATAAAGATAAAAAAGAAAAATGGTTAGGGACCTAAATCAGTGGTAGAGTACCCCTGGGTTCAATCCCCAGGGCTGAAAAAACAAACAAACAAAAAAGTTTGAGCTTTATAGTTGTGTTACTAATATTGTTACTTATTCTTTTGAGTATGACGCTAAAGGGATACACTTAATTTCTTAAATGGTATGCTCCCCATCCCTCACCCCCACCCCACTGAGAAAAACCTCACAAACTTCTCTAACCCCCAGTCAGTGAGAAGGAAGGAAACTTGTAATTTGGGGTGTTTTGTTACTCAGGATTTGTTGAAACAAGGGCCTTGAACAAGCTAGACATGTGTTCTACCATTAAGCTACATTACTAATCTTTTTAAATTGTATTTTTATTTTATTTTGAGACAGGGTCTTGCCAAATTACCCAGCCTGGCCTAGAACTTGTAATCCTCCCGTCTTGGCATCCTGAGTAGCTGGGATTAGAGGTGTCCACCACCAGGGAGTTTCTTGCACTTAACTCTATATACAGTCTTTGGATAATTTCTGTCAGAATAGAAGCAGATTATAGCAGGGGCTTTGTCCTTACTGACAGCTCTCCCAGTGATAGTCTGGAGTCCACATCAGACCTGCCCCAGGTCTAGAGAGGAGAAAGGGTGAAAGTGCCCTGGCTTCTATCACAGCTGTGCCCAGGATGTAGATAGCAGGATATTTCCCTGGTTCCTGGTGTACATAGTGGATAGAAGAATATACTGGATGGAAATATGCAGTATGTCTACAACATTATGAGGAATTTAAGGGATGTCATTTCTGGAATTAGCTTATTTGCTTTATAATTACATCTTAGTATAGTCAAGTCTTGGTACTAAAATTTTTTAAAAAAGGATTTTCTGCTGAAACCTACTATGGAAAGATGAACTGGCTTTGAAATTAAAATGCAGATTTCAGGAATCCTAGGGCCATCTGAGAGATTCTTAGAAGATACTTGTACCAACTTTCAGCCTGAATCACCTGTATCAAGGTCAAGCAGGGTTCCAAAATTTATAGATCTTATTTTAACCACCATTGACTAGTTAATCCTAGTAAGATTAATGATGTAAATGGAGCCCAAAGAAAGAGGATCAGGGCAGGGGGCATGGTGTGTGGGGGAGGAGGTAGAAAGCGGTGAACTAATTATCAGTGGTTTTATCTCATTTTTTTGTGTATCTGCTGCCAGCCAGCTCCTATGTGTTCTCTAGTCTGAAAGCACACACTTTCATGGGCGGGAAAGTTAGGTATACCTACATCATTTGTTTTTTTTCTGGGATGTTTAACTTGAAATACTGACCTAATTTTAGTTCCTCTTGTTTTCTAATACCTGACAGGTCACATCAACAGGCATTAATTTTGCTAATTGGATGTAAAAATCACTACAAAATGAAAACATTGTTTTATAACCACATATAGTTTATCAGATTCCAGTCTAGGTCTACTGATTTTGAAATCTAGTGTTTGGAATGGCTCTTCTACTTCTTAGACTGAATTTTTCCCCCATTAGATCAGTGTTTCAGCTCATGAGTAGTACATACTCCCTTATCCCTATCCTCTGATACTGCTAATGCTTACTCTTATGGTTCTTTCTCTGTCCCTGGTCACAAAGTTTCAGTGATAAATTTATCAGAAAGAGATTGGAAACCTTAAGAGTATGTGGAATAATGTTTGAGATCTGTTTTGTTTCATGAAATCTGAAGATCTTATTTTAACTTTAATTTCCTATTCACCATGCTGCCTTTCAGTTGTTATTTATTTACCTTTAAGCAGTATCATCAGGATTAATAAAGAAAAAATTATACATGCACATATGTAAATTATATATATATATATATGTATATATCAATAGCAGGTAATATAACTTAGGAATAAGAATTCTGACTGCTCTACCTTAAATCCAACTCTTCCACTTAATAGCTATGACCTTGAGCTAAGTCTCTCAGCCTCAGTTTCCTTTTCTAAAAGATGGGGAAATGGGCTGGAGTTGTGGCTCAGTGGTAGAGTGCTTGCCTAGCACATGCAAGGCCCTAGTTCGATTCTTAGCACCACATAAAAATAAATAAAATAAAGGTATTGTGCTCAACTATAACTAAAAAATAATTAAAAAGAAAAGTCTGTAGTTAATATTATAAAAAAAATTTTAAAAATAAAAGATGGGGAAAATAATAACCACCCTGGGGTAATTGTGAGGATTAAATGAGGTTCTACATGTGAAGCATGTGGCAAAAGGTAAACACTCAATAAATTTTAGCTATTTTTATTAGTCTTAACCTATTTTTTTTGAGAGAGAGAGAGAATTTTTTAATATTTATTTTTTAGTTTTCGGCGGACACAACATCTTTATTTGTATGTGGTGCTGAGCATCAAACCCGGGCCACACGCATGCCAGGCGAGCGCGCTACCGCTTAAGCCACATCCCCAGCCCAAGTCTTAACCTATTTTTCTGAGGTTACTTGATGTGCTCTGGGGCTGAGTTTCCTCAACCATTCCATGAAGTTTTGTATGCACCTACGTTTTCCCAGGGAGATTCTACCCAGAATCAGAATCACTAGTGGTTCTTCCAGCAGGTGTCACCCTTCCTCCTTTTCCGAAAGCTACCCAGTTGTTTCCACTGTTCCTTGCATTTTGAGTTACATTTAAACACAAGAACAAGACTATCTTTTAGAAGAAGGGTCAATACAGAAGGCCAGGGCCACTGATTGTCCTAAAAACTAAAGAGAGGAGAAAACAAAACAAACAAGGGACTATGATAAGGAAAGACAGAGACCAAGGAGAGGAAAAAAAATAATGTATTATAGGGAGTGATAGAATATAATTAATGATTGCTCTACATGACAGAACACTTGTGCCTCACCTATAGCCTCATGTTTCTAGACCCCCTCTCCCACCACACACACAAAAAAATCCACTAAAAATAAATTGAGCAGGAGGATATCAAGTTCAAGGTCAACCTGGATAACTTAGTGAGACCTGTCTCAAAATAAGAAATAAAAAGGGCTGGGAATGTAGCTCAGTGGTAGAGTACTTCCCTAGCGTGTGTAAGACCCTGGGTTCAATCCCTAATACTGCAAAATAAATAAATAGTATTTATCTGTCAAAACACATGTGTTATAAATTATTATTATGAAAGTTCTCATATGATTTACATGGGGAAACTAAAATATGTGGTCAGTCTTCAAGAAGCACACAGTTCTCTGGGCATCTGGAGTCAGAGTCAGTGAGTTACCTAGTTCTTCAGAGTTCTTATATCAGATTCTAAGACTTGCATTTGTTCTTATCATTTTAATCTGTATTCATTTCCTGTTCAAATAAAAAACCCAACCAGAGAAAACAAGCAGTTTGTGGCTGGGTTTGGTTGTGCTTGTACCAGAGATTCGGGCTGACCCCAAGGGTCTCCACATTTCCTATTTTTCTCTTTTCAAATCTGTCATACCACTCCAGGAGTTTCTCATTTTGGTGCTTTGGGAAGTCTTGAAATGACCACTAGGAAGCCCTCATTTCTAAGGAGTCACCCCGGGTCTCAGAGGAAGAGCTTTCATGACTCATGAAAATGAGAAACTCATGCAGAACATTCAGGGAAAGGCAGGACTGGAAAGTAAGGGCATTGAACCAAAAAAAAAAAAAAAAAAACAAGAGTGTCTTCCAGGGTCTTAATTATGATTCTTTTTTTTTTTTTTAATTTATCTTTATTAAGTAGAAATAACCAATAGAATTATAGTCTGCCACATGGTAAAGCCTACCAAAACAGTCATTTCACTGAAAATAGACAGGAAAACAAACTCTCTTACACAAGTTCATAGAGATCTGGCCTAACAAAGAAAATACTGTAATTCTACAGCTTTAAGAAAGCCAGTTCAGTTCAAAGCCTGAAGAGTGGGAGTTAGGGCAGCTTTTATTTTCCTATTCACCAAGAGGCCCATTGTGTCTGAACAGAGACACATCACCAGTGAGTTCCCTTTGGCATCCTAATGGCAGGCCTTAGGGCCAGTAGGGGAAAAAAACACTGATAATTCTTAGGATCCAAAACTCTAACCATGGATACAGAATCATAAATTAAAGAAGTATAGAAATATAGGACCAAGACGTTCCTATTTTTCAGGAACGCTTAGTCAAAATAATATAATATCAGGAAAATGTATTTGATACCTTGCACTAAGTCTAAAACTTACTTTAGGTGCTGTATAGTATGTAAAAGTACAAGTGCCAGAATTAGTGATAAGAGCAGTTTTGTAGGTAACAGATAGCCAAAATGAACATAGTTTCTAAGGTTTTTTAGAAAAGCATATTAGGGTTTGAGATGGAGAGATACAGTATGCATAAGGGTTTGGAGTTCATAATGGCATGGCTTTGTATGGGGAACAGTGAAAATCCTCTTGTGGAATAGGGTCTCATCTCATAGAGGAGATCTTAGGGGATGGTTTAGAAAGGGAAGAGGTTAGGACTGGATCATCATGAACATCTTTGGGGTTAAAAAAGAATAATGTTTTTGTTTTTGGTAGCTTGGCAAGTAAACCTCTTCAGAGAGTATCCAGAAAAAAAACTTATTTTTATTTATTTGGGGTATAAGAATACTATGATTTGCTAGGTGTGATGGTGTACACCTAGAGTCCTGGAAACTCAGGAAGCTGAAGCAAGAGGATCAAAAGTTTAAGGCCCATCTCAGCAACTTAGCAAGATTCTGTCTCAAAATAAAATAAAAAAGGTTGGGATGTAACTCAGAGGTAGATGAGTGAGGCCCTGGATTTATTTTCCAGAACTGGGGGAAAAAAAAAGTTTATTAGAGAGGAAGTCATTGGGCAGTAGGCTCTTCATGCTTATGGTAAAAGTTTGGGCAAATGAGGGATATGATAAAATGGTATCCTGGGCCTCCAATGAAGAACCAATTCCTGAAGACATCTTTCTTAACTGTTCTATTTATGATAATAAACAACATAGTGTGAGCAGTTAGATCCATGGTGGATCCTATCCAAAGAACTATATTAGGCCCAGAAGCTTGAACTATAATATTATTTACAGCAGCATTTATTACACTTTTGGGTTTTACAATCCCAACACACTCATAAAAGATATAAGCCAGGTGCAGTGGATTACAGTTGTAATCCCAATGTCTTGGAAGACTGAGGCAGGAGGATTATGAGTTCAAAGCCAGCCTCAGCAAGTTAGCAAGGCTCTAAGCAACTCAGTGAGAACCTTTCTCTAAATAAAATTTAAAAAACAGCTGGGGATGAGGCTCAGTGGTTAAGTGCCCCCGGGTTAAATCCTCAGTACCAAAAAAAAAAAAAAAGATATTGAGACCTCAAAAGGTTATATCTATTGAAATTTGAATTAGATAGTAAAACTGGGAATTAAAGTATTTACCAATTAACTAAAACTCATTACATATTAGCATAAATAGCATTTTTATTTTTTTAAAAAAATTAACTTTCCAATCAAATTAAGCGAGGAATGACATTGGTTTACATTTTTATAAATCATTTTAATGTTTGACTTAATGGAATAAAGCTGGATTTTCATACTTGCATCTATATTTAATCTATTACAATATGTTTTGTTAGAAGTATATTCTAAAAAATCCAGCCTCACACAGATATGTAATGGGAGAGAGGAGTCTTTTAATAGTCTTTTCAGATAATTGTGAATATTTTTCTTTAACACTGTACCAAAATGCAACAAATGGTAGTTTTTTTAAGGATTAGTTGCAGTGTGGGAACTGAAATCATATCAGTGAACTTTTCGTACTACTACACTAAAATCCGTTAATCTGTTTTGTTTTGTTTTGTTTTTTAGAGAGAGAGAGAGAGAGTGTTTTAATATTTATTTTTCAGTTTTCGGTGGACACAACATCTTTGTTTGTATGTGGTGCTGAGGATCGAATCCGGGCCGCACGCATGCCAGGCGAGCGTGCTGCCGCTTGAGCCACATCCCCAGCCCGTCTGTTTTGGTTTTAATGAATCTTTTAACCATGAATGATTTTATAACATCATGCATTGGATATGTAGAAAATATTGATTCAATGAGTTATTACCAAATGTGGGCCATTTTTTTATACAACACCAACAATTACACTTGTTAATATTTCTGGTGATCTCATCAGAAAAACATTCAACTATGGAAAGCTGTCAAGTTCATGGTTGTAGATAAGAGTTTTCCTTCTTATTTTAGCTTGGAAGTTGGAATTTTACCATGGGCAACAAATATTTTTGCTTATTTTCCTTGAGGTTACAGACTCATTTCTTCCCTTTTAGAGGAAATGTCTCCAGGCTATCCAGGCCTGAATAAACTGTCTGCCAGTCATTCTTTCACATAAAACAGTGTTGGGTGAAAAACAGCAGTTGGTTCAAGCATATAACTTGGCCGCTCAACTACTTTTCCTCAAGTCAGACAGCAAAAGCTCTGTGTGTGTAATTCTCATGTTGTCACACAGAATGTTACAAAGGAAGCATTCTCAAGAGTTGAAATTTAATACAACAAATGTAACTTCATCAAGGATGTTCTTAACTGCAACTGGATTTGCTTTTTACACCATTGAGCACTTGGTGGTGAAGTATACAGTGACTCTACTGCAACAGTTCTGTGTGCTTTGTTGCCGCTGCCTTGGTTTATGCATCGCCAGCAGTTTTATCCCCATTGCTTTTATAGTCATTGCAAATGTCAATGCAGTGGAAAATGTGGATAAAGTATTCATTAGTTTTGATCTCACAGATCCTCTGAAAGGATCTCAGGGACCCACCCCTAAGGTTCCATGGATCACTCTGAAAACCCTAGGTTTATAGGAATGTTTCCATTCATTCGATTATTACAAGTGTTCATGCTCATAAAATTCTAGGTATGTATTTCCTTGATTCATTCGATGTTTGAAGTGATGCCCTGCTCTATTGATTACAGTAATGCTCTGCTGGGATGATGACTGAGGTCATTCTTTCTCTTTCTTCAGGTGACCTGGTGATTCTTGATGGCACTTCCACTGGAGGCTGGCTGCAGGGCAGAAGCTGCTGGGGTGCCCGGGGCTTCTTCCCATCTTCGTGTGTCCGGGAGCTCTGCCTCTCATCTCAAAGCCGGCAGTGGCACTCACAGAGTACACAGCTTCAGATTCCTGAATATTCCATGGGTCAAGCGCGTGCCCTGATGGGGCTTTCTGCCCAGCTGGATGAGGAGCTGGACTTCAGGGAAGGGGATGTGATTACCATTATTGGAGTTCCTGAGCCAGGCTGGTTTGAGGGGGAGTTAGAGGGTCGAAGAGGCATTTTTCCAGAAGGTTTTGTAGAACTTTTGGGGCCTTTGAGGACTGTGGATGAGTTGGTAAGTGCTGGAAATGGAGAAGACTGCATTGCTAATGGTGAGGTAGATATTCCTCTTGGAGAAGAAGAAAGAGGGCCAGATGAAGAGGATGAGCAATCAGGGGCCTATGGAATTGCCCTCTACAGATTCCAAGCCCTGGAGCCGAATGAGTTGGATTTCGAAGTAGGGGATAAAATTAGAATACTGGCAACCTTGGAAGATGGCTGGCTAGAAGGATGGCTGAAGGGCAGGACAGGCATCTTTCCTCACAGATTTGTAAAGTTATGTCCTAACACCAGAGTGGAAGAAACCATGGCCCCACCCCAGGAAGGCAGCCTCACCAAGACCCCAGAAAGCTCTTTGGATGATTTGGAGAACACGGTAGTAATGGAGGAACCAAGATGTGAATCTCTTGAGTACACAGCAGAGATGCCCAACTATGTGCTTTCTGAAACTTCTACTTCTCCCCTAGATCACCTGACTCCTGAATGTGATGTAAATAAAAACTCTGATCCAGGTGAAGTCTTCTCAGAAGGGTCCCCCAGAAGCCCAGGTGCAGAGCACATAGAGCCTGTTGCGAAAGACCCTTCTGTGACTGAACCTTTTGAGGTGGTCAATGGTATTTACTCCCAACCTCAGGTATCTTTTCATTGCCAATTGCAGAAAAACCAGTATTATTCTACTGTAGGAGGGAGCTACCAAAGTGCAGAACAGTTCTCTGGCCACTTTCCTCTAGAAGCCAGGACTAGAGACTATTCCAGCCTACCTCCCAAAGGAACGTATGCCCAGCAGAGATTTCTTCAGAAGCCAGAGCCTCCCCTTCACAGGGGCTCTTCCCTTGCAGCCTCAAGGATAGCCAAACCCAGCCAATTGAGCCTTCAACTCCAGGGTATGACAAGGTGTGTTAAAAAGCACCTAGCCTCCAAAGAAAATGCCTCCAGCTTCTGCTCCTCATCAGAGAGATCAGAGAGGAAGCCTAGTCCAAAAGGCCAGGGATCCACTGTGGAAGTAACAGCACTTCCACAGGGAGATGGAAGCATTGACCTGGACTCTAAGTTGACACAACAGCTGATAGAGTTTGAGAAGAGCCTGTCAGGACCTAGTACAGAGATAGACAAAATTTCACGCCACTTTTCAATCACAGACTTTAACTCTGAGAAGGATATTGTCCGAGGTTCCTCAAAGTTAATTCCCCCACAGATGCTACCTGAGAGAAGAAAAGCCCTAAGGCCACCACCACCTCGACCCTGCACTCCATCATCCACTTCTTCCCACTTGCTGGTTGACCATAGCCCAAAACCTGCACCCCCCTTGGCTGTGAGGCCCTCTCGCCCAGCTCCCTTGCCTCCCTATGCACAGCAGAGGATGAATGCAGCCTTTCCCAAGCCCCTTTCCTGTCACCATCCTAGCTGGGACACTCCAGAGAAGGAAGACCCTGAGCATATGGAAAAGAGTCTAGACCAGACATCCCTGTGCCCCTTGGTACTAGTGAGGATCCAGGAAATGGAACAGGACTTGGACATGTACACCAGGGCTCAGGAGGAGCTGAACTTGATGCTGGACGAGAAGCAGGATGAATCCTTAAGGTCGGAGACCCTTGAGAATCTGGAGTTCTATGAGAATAACATTGAAAGTTTGAATCTGGAACTCCAGCAACTGAAAGGTGAGTGATGAGGAAAATAACGTGTACTTGTTTTTTGGCACCCACCAGTCCCAGTAACAGCCTGCCTTTCTGTTTTAGGGGTTGTTGCCATCTTTGATGACAGAATGATTTGTATTTTCATTACCTAGTTTCTTATTCTGTCACTACAATGAAATTGCTCAGTCTTGCTGTATTCTATGACCAGTGTCCTTTGACTCCATTTGCTGCTTAAAGAAGTGCAAGACTTAGAGACATGTGTGTACCCCATTGACATGTATACCTCCTCTGCAGCTATGATGTCCCTGGCGTAATGCAGATGAGAAGTCCCTAAATATAACTTTCTTCATCAGGTTCTATAAGGACTAAAGGCTTCCAGGCTAAGACTCTTGAGAAAATTACAACTTGTATCTCTGTGGTCCAAGGACTCATTTTCAGTAATAATAATTGCTAACATTTCTTAACTTACTAGTAAGTAAAGAGTCTTCATGGATTCCTTAAAGGTGTAGGGATAATTCATAAGGCTGCTTTAGGAAGGAAGAAACTAAGACTTACAGAGATTAATATGTCAAGGGAGCTGGGATTTAAGGTCATGCTTTTTACTACTACAGTTTATTACTTCCACTTTGCATATTCAAAAAATCATATTCTGGAGACTTCACATTGACCAGATTCACAGGAAAAATAATTTATGGAGTAGGAAGAATAAGAGAGGGAGCCATGAGCAATTGGCCTCTGTCCCTAGGAGTTCATGACTGCTAGTCACTCTTAGCATGTGTACAAGGCCTCTGAACCTACATGTCATCAGAAAAGGAAAAGATAAAAAGTAATCTGAGAATCTAGGAATTGCAGGATACTAATAAGAATAAAAGCAGAAGAATGGAGGTGCAGAGAGCCTAGGTCAAGTTGGCAGACTGAGGATGCAGACCTATCTCTTCTTCTACCTTAGATCTCTGAAAGAGAATAAGGAATGTGTAATTTAAAAATTTCCACAATAAAGAGTATTATTGGAATCAGGAATGGTGGTGTACACCTGTAATCCTAGCTATTCAGGCAGCTGAGGCAGGAGGATCCAAGTTTAAGGCCATCCTGCGCAATTTAGTGAGACCCTGTCTCAAAAAAAAGATTGAAAGGGCTGGGGATGTAGCTCCATGGTAGAGCACCTCTGGTTCAATCCCCAGTACTGCAGGGGCAGTGGGGGGTGCTATTAGAAGGCCAGAAACCAAGTAGTTTTTTAAAAGATGGAAAGCAGATAGTAGTGAAGACAGGGAGGAAACCTCTATCCAAAATATGCTCAGGAGAGGAGGACAGTTCTAAGGGAACTCCAATTCAGAGATATGGCATAGGAGGGGTCTTGGGACAATTAGGGAACAGTTGAGCCCCATCGTCACCTGTGCTGAATAGGAACAACAGCAACACTTGTCCTTGAGCACTAGGTAGGTACATAGACATGTCCTTAAGAAGGTGTTCCTATAACATGCATACCTGAGCTCTTGGAGGAATGCCAGGTACCTTGATGACTTTGGATTACAAAAAAAAAAAAAAAAATTCTAAAGGAACCTTGGCTGGCTGTTGCATCCCCAAAGCCATAGCAAGTACTAGGGTCTTCTCTTGTTGACCATACTTAAAAGATTCAAGATACATTTGTAAACTATTCTTTTGTTGCATATACAGGTGAGAAAACTAAAGGCTCTCAAATTCCAGGTAGCAGGGACTTCCCAGAAACCACACTTTTTGGAATGAATCACGTTCCACTGAACTATTTTTGTCTCCCATGCTTAAGAACACTGTGCTATGTGTTCAGAGGGATTCATGGATTAAGGGACTGGAAGTACTAAGTGATGACATTGCTGTTCTTGCTTATTCACCTGACCTTCTTTCTCAGGACTAGTTTAGTAATAATACAACCAGTATTGTTACTATGTATTTTTTTTTTAATTACTAAAAACTTCATACTGGGAAAGCCCCACAGTAGGTAATTGTAGTCTCAATCATGAAGAATTTTAAAAATTCAAATCCACCAAATACAGCGTTGGAGAAGTTAATGTGGTCTTATGTGTTGCTAGTCGGTGTATTATTTATATCTGCTGTCAGTATGTTAAAATTACTTATTCCTTGCAATCACAGATGATGCCGCTTAAGGACCTCTTTTTTTGAATGTTCATAAATGTTATTTCCAACAATATAAATAGTCCCTCAAAAGGCAGAAGTTCATCAGTTGGAGTACCAGGCTTTATTTCTGTAATTCAGTCCTGCATAATCTTTAATCTTGAAATTTAAAGGCCTAAGGTTTAAAGAATTTTCAATATTCTGATTCTAGTCAATATTATATTTAGTTGTTGGATGCCTACTGAAAAAACAGGTAATACCTATCAGTGTATCATTTCTCATACACCTGGTGTGGTGTTTCACACATAGTAGGGGCTCATTAAATGCTTGATGTTATGGTTTGGATCTGAAATGTCCTCCAGAAGCTCATATATTAAAGATGTGGTCCCTGTTGCAGCAGTGTCTGGAGGTGGGGCTTTTGGAAAGTGTTTGGTTCACAAGGGCTTTTACCTCATCAGTTGATTAACCCATTGATGGCTGAATGGACTACTAGGAGGTGGTGGAAACTGTAGGCAAGTGGTTCATGATTGGAGGAAGTAGGTCACTGGGAGTGTACCCTTGGGGACTATTCATATCAATGGCCTCTTCCCATCCTCCCCTGCTTCCTGGCTGCCATGAGTTCTGCCTCACTCAGGTCCAGAAACAATGAAGCTGGCTAACTTTGGTCTGAAACCTCTGAAACCATGAGCCAAAATAAACCTTTTTTCCCTCAAGTTGTTATGTCAGTTGTTTTAGTCACAGAGATGAAAAGCAGTCTACCACACCTGAGTAACTAAACGAGATTGGATTGAATGGACTGTTCTACCTTGACTTCTTTCAGAATCTCCTGCCTCTATTGTTGCTTTGACTTGGACTCCTGGGGAGCTGAGGAGGGTCAGTGTAGAGATGCCAGCTCCCTGATCAGACACAGTTAATGTAGCAAAATAATCCAATGCTGTACATGCCCACAGTGAAGCTCTTTAACTATTGTTACTTCTTAAGTCCCAGGAATTAAGAAGTCATGAAGGTTCATTTTCTAGAAGCTCTATTTGTTTTTCTTATCTGCTCTGTTACCTGTCATCTCCTGTTTCAATGGTTGTTTATTTGTTTGTTTGTTTGTTTCCGTAGTTGTTGGTGTATGATCCCAAAATACTAAACCTTAGTGGGCTGTTTTGGGCAGCACATAGTTCTCATTCATGTGGTCTTGTATATCTGGCTGTCTTTCATTGTGTGCTGCTCATAGAACTTGGGAATTTTGGGGGGCATAGGGTATTAGGGATGAACTTAGGGGCACTTAACCACTGAGCCACACCCCCAGCCCTCTTTTGTATTTTATTTAGAGATAGGGTCTCTCTGAGTTGCTTAGCACCTCACTGTTGCTGAGGCCAGCTTTGAATCCCCCGTCCTCTTGTCTTAGCCTCCCAAGCTGCTGGGATTACAGGCGTGCACCCCCACAACCAGCCAGAATTTGGGAAATTTTAAGACCTGAGATGAAGACACCTGACTCCAGAGATGATTTGTACTTGTTTCCGTCAGTTTGTGTCAGCTAATGTTTACAAATTCCTGAAGGATAGTAATCTTTGGGATTCAGGAATAAGAAATTGAAATTCTTGGTAATTCCCAAATTACAACTGATTTTGTATTAAAAAAAAAAACTTTTCTGCTGTCATATATAAATTTAAAAAATTAATAAAAAAGAAAAAAGAACTCTTCATTTACATGCCTGTAAATAATAATGGTAGTGACCATAATAATCATCAGTGAATGGTTTTACTGTGCTAGGATTACACTAAAATTTTTAGAGACTTTTATACATATATGAAATAAAGGCATGGCTTATTGTTATTATGAACCAAACTATTGTGACAGGATTGTATATTGTAGTACCATGTTAAAATGTTCCACACCTGATAATAGGCTTAAAAAAAAAAAAAAACTTGATATTTTTAGAGCAGTTTTAGGTTCACAGTAAAATTGAGAGGAAGGTATAGACATATTCCATATCTCACTTCCCCCATACATATATAACTTCCCCCATTAACAACATTTCTGAAACATGTTTCATGTTTTACTTTTTATCTTTTTTTTTTTTAAACAGAGAGAGAGAGAGAGAATTTTTTAATATTTATTTTTCAGTTTTCGGTGGACACAACATCTTTGTTTGTATGTGGTGTTGAGGATCGAACCCGGGCTGCACGCATGCCAGGCGAGCGCGCTACCGCTTGAGCCACATCCCCAGCCCCTTACTTTTTATCTTAAAATAATTTTAGACTTATAGGAAAGTTGCATAAATAATAGAGTTCCCATGTACCTTTCACTAGCTTTCCCTAACTTTACCATCTTATGTGTCTATAACATATTTAATAAAATCAGAAAATTAATGATAGTTGACATTTGATCATTTAAAATGTTAAAGGAACATTTAATACAAAATGTCCATTTAAAAGATTACACAATGTATTATATATGTATTGATTATTGATGTATTGAACCACCACATCATACCCCTGTCCTGCCCCGCCCCCCCTTTTTTTTTTGCAGTACTCGGGACTTAACCCAGAGATACTCTGGGTTACATCTCCAGTCCTTTTTATGTTTTATTTTGAGACAGGGTCTTCTTAGATTGCTGAGGCTGACCTTGAACTTGTGATCCTCCTGCCTCAGCCTCCCAAATTTTTGGGAGTACAGGTGTGCACCACTGAACTTGGCTAATATCTCATTAATAATATAATTTTGTATTTGTGTAATTTTGATGTTTTTATGTGTCAGTTAAAAATAAAATTTTAAGTCAAAAAATTTAAGTTCAACATTAAAAAAAATTCCTGATTTAGAAATTCAGCAAAGAATCATGTGTTATAAACATGAGATTATAGCACAAAGATAATTATCTAAAATTTTAATATTAAAATCTCCTTTTTCACACTTTATTTTAGGAG